GTTCATATCAGAGTACTGTATATTTTAGTTCATTTAGATTTTTATATAGAATGTCCTGAGAAATAGTACGTGCTCCATTTCTCATATTTCTATTCATTTTTATTCTTTTTCTAGTCTCAAGATTTAAAAAAAGAAAAAAAAAAAAAAAAAGGAACAAAAATCATGTTCTTGGAGCTGTGATATGGTTTTGTGTTGTGTTTCTTACACTTGGGAGTTGGACTGGAATTATTTTGGGTTGTGCAATAAAGATATTCCTCTTCATTAGTGAAGTAAATTACTGTTGTTTTTGGGTGCTCTATGAAGTGGCAGTGAATCAGTGAGAATTAGGAAGTTTGGAGTCTCAAGGGACTGGGGATTATCTAGGAACTAAGAAACGGGGTGCAGTTTCAAATTTTAATCAGTTTGGTGTAGTTTCTGATCTGATATCAAAAGAAAAGAAAAAGAAAGAACGAAAAAAAAAAATCAGTTTGGTTGTATTAAGGTTCAGGTTGTGTGCATGTTTGTGATGGGGTCAGATTTTATATAATAAAGTTTGGGTTTGTTCACACTATAAGGAATTAATTTTGTGGGAGTAAGAATGCACGGTCTCACACACATTTAGAAGCTAATACTTTTCCTGATTGTTTGGCTCCAAATTTGAGCACTTGGAGATGCATTTGCACGTTTATGATGACCTATTTATGGTAACCCTTCTGGTGGTTTGTGTCCTTGGATCCCAATGTACCAATTTATGGCTTAGTTCCACCCCTGCTTTTGAAGCATCTGCATTTCAAGTTGTGGACCATGTAAATGGAGTTCCAGATGCATGCATGCACCTACTAATGCTTGTGTATAGATAAAATAAAATGTTTTACTGGGTACTCTACTTTGAATATCATTTTTGAGTGTGAATATGATTTTTTGTGATCATTAAACATTTAATATGAGAAATGCTAAGAATGCAGATTTCCACCTCCCTTTCTTACCATTTTATGTTTCTGTATCTGCAGATTTGAGTTTTGTCATTGGTTGTGAAGCCCATTCAGTTCTGCCTCATAATCAGAAATTTATGAGTGCTCCTCTGCTGTGAATGTCATTAATGGATTAAAGAGTTTAGTTTTATTTTGGTCTCATGGTCTCATCTTGTATGAGTTGAACATCTGATTAGTAACACCATGTATAGTTGTATTATGGTCAATACCTTAGTGGAACTTTCCTACTGATTCTGTAGATCATTGAAACTGGAAACATGCCTTCATGGTGGGGGAGGTCATCGTCCAATGAAGTGAAGAAGAAAACAAGCAAGGAAGGTTTCATTTATACTTTGCAACGAAAATTTAAGATTCCTTCTGATGGTAAACTCAACAGTAAATCAGAAGTGTCTCAAAGGTACTGTAGTGACACAGTTTCGGAGTTGGGATCTCAATCCTGCTTACAATCAAGATCTCCTTCACCTTCCAAACAAGTATCTAGGTGTCAAAGTTTTTCTGAAGGACCTCATGGTCAACCGCTTCCCCTTCCTGATTTGCACTCTGCAATTGTAGGTTGCACAGATTCTGCAGTTGGTATAACTACAAAACCACGGCAGGAGAAAAGCACTAGGTCATCATTATTTCGGCCTCTCCCTAGACCAGCATGCATTCGTCAGAGGCCCAGTCCTTGTGACTTAGATGTAGATTTAGTTACTGCTTCAATTTCTAGCGAGATTTCAACTGATAGTGATGATCCTATTGACTCATGCCATCGAAGTCCCCAAGCAATTGATTACGACAATGGCACTAGAACTGCTGCTAGCAGCCCTTCAAGGTGAGCCCTGCTTGTTTCTCATTAACCATTATGCTACAAGTGAGGGACATGTTCCTGTGTATCAGGGTCTATCTTGGTTTTTTAAATGTTGCCTTGTCTATAATTTAAAATTACTCATCCCTGACAAAATTTACTCTTTCTTCCATGAAGTTTGGTGCTCAAGGATCATTCTTCAAGTGTTGCCCAACTCAACTCAAGAGAAGCTAAGAAACCACCTAACATTTTACTCACTAACAATCATAGCTCCAGTACATCACCAAAAAGGAGACCATTAGGCGGTCATGTGCCAAATCTACAGGTTCCCTATAATGGTGCTTTCAACAGTGCCCCAGATAGCTACATGTCAAGCCCCTCCAGAAGTCCAATGAGGGGTTTTGGCACTGAGCAAGTTGTGAACTCTGCTTTATCTGCAGGAAAGCTCTATTCAGATGTCACTTTCCTTGGATCTGGCCACTGTTCTAGTCCTGGTTCAGGTCACAATTCTGGGCATAATTCAATGGGAGGAGATATGTCAGGACAGCTATTTTGGCAACCAAGCAGGGGCAGTCCTGAGTATTCTCCCATGCCAAGTCCCCGGATGACTAGTCCTGGTCCCAGCTCTAGAATACATAGTGGTGCTGTCACACCTATTCATCCTAGGTCAGCAGGTGGCACATCTACTGAGTCCCAGGGTAGTTGGCCTGATGATGGAAAACAACAATGCCACAGGTTGCCTCTCCCTCCTCCTGTAACAGTTTCCAGTTCTTCTCCTTTCGCCCATTCAAATTCAGCAGCCACATCTCCATCTGTACCACGAAGTCCAGGAAGGGCAGAGAATCCAACAAGTCCAACAAGTCCTGGCTCACGCTGGCAAAAGGGAAAGCTTCTGGGTAGAGGCACATTTGGTCACGTTTATGAGGGTTTTAACAGGTATAAAACCAAAATTGAGACATGCTTGGTGTTACTTTTCATCTTCAAAAATACTGGCCCACGCTTGAGCTGAGTTATTGAGTCAAATGTTTTTCAGTTTTGTTGGTTTTCAAATATATGAATTCTTATGGAATCTGACATGTTGATTGAAATTGAACTGTGTAAAATCTGCTGCTTCCAGCTTGTCTGGTGTTGTGAAATACTGGTCATTAACTGGATTTTATTTTTGATTTTATATTTTCAAATGATTCAGTGGAAGTGGTGAAATGTGTGCAATGAAGGAGGTTGCCTTAGTTCCAGATGATGCAAAGTCAAAAGAAAGTGCCAAGCAATTGATGCAGGTAAGCACTTTTGAGTTTTGACAAAGTTTCCATCAATCATCATCCTTTAATATTTTTTTGCTTCCTTTGTGAACTGTAGTTATTTGTCACTTGTTCTTAGTTTGAGATACTATGAAAAAAATTTCATACTTTTAGTGCCTTTACAGGAAATTGCTGTGCTAAGCCGCTTACGGCATCCAAATATTGTACAATATTATGGATCTGAAACGGTATGTCCTATGTCTGCTAAATGTCTATTTCAGCTTTATATGTTTCTGTTAAATCTAAAGTGTGGTTAAGAAACTCCATTTGGAGGATTCTTTTGTGAAGCACTTGTTATTTTAATCTAAATTCAGGACTGTGAATTATGACATTGTCAAATTTATTTTGATAAGTCTAGTTTGACTTAACTAACTCCAAAGAACTCTAGCGTGGTATGAGTGCTTCTATTTGAACCTTATATTTTTGTTCTCAGAGAAAAAAAGAAGAGTGGAAAGGTCAAAAAAGAAAGATAAAATTGGAGAGGAATGGTTTTAAAGTTTACTTACATAACCTTTTGAATTATGTCTTGTACAGGTTGGTGATCAACTTTACATATATCTCGAGTATGTATCTGGTGGGTCTATTTACAAACTTCTTCAGGACTATGGACGGCTAGGTGAATTGGCAATACGAAGTTACACTAAGCAGATTTTATCAGGGCTTGCCTACTTACATTCTAAATCTACTGTCCACAGGTGAAATATGTTGCCTGTCTTCAACTGATATGTTGAAATCCATAACAGCCATGTACTAATATCCATTTATCAAGATTTGTTCATATTACTAACATATATTTCTATCTCAGGGATATTAAAGGAGCAAACATACTTGTAGATCCACACGGAAGGGTTAAGTTGGCAGACTTTGGGATGGCAAAGCATGTAAGTAGATTTAAAGGAGCAAACATAATCATGTCCCTATTAATGGATTTAATTAGATCAAATGGAATCCAGCCTATGTTTTTTAAATTAAACTATGCAATTATTTAAGGCACCACACAAATAAGCTCCTCAACTTGTCACAAAGGTACATTTCAGCCCCTAGTAATTTATTGGGTAAGCCCATGGATTTTTATATCAAGCTTAGCTGTTGCATTCAAAATTGTTGGGTCCAATTAAGCCCTTGTAAAATTCAGCTAACTTGATGTATTATGGTTAAAATGATCATACCTTTTCTTGAAGCTTTGTTGCTTGACATTTTTTATGTGTGCTTCACAGATTGCTGGGCAGTCATGCCCACTTTCATTCAAGGGAAGCCCTTACTGGATGGCACCTGAGGTCAGAGAAATTTCCCTTTAAAGGTTTTCCTCCTTAATCATCATGTGCTTCTTGGTCTTATAGTTTATTCTCTTTTTTCATTCATTGCCCAGGTTATAAAGAACTCAAATGGTTGCAACCTTGCTGTGGATATTTGGAGTCTTGGATGCACTGTTTTGGAGATGGCTACAACGAAACCTCCTTGGAGTCAGTATGAAGGGGTCAGTTTTGCAGATAGAAAGATAGAGTAGTTCTATATTCTTGTTTTAGTCTCTCAGATCAAAGATTTGATAAGATTAGCTTGTCTTAGTTGTGTTTTGAAATTCTATGCTTTTTAAAAGTTTTATTGTTTTCTTATTGTGTGATATTTTCATGTTATCGTGGTTTAAAGGTTGCTGCCATGTTTAAGATTGGTAATAGTAAGGAACTCCCAGCAATTCCAGATCATCTCTCAGAAGAAGGGAAGAACTTTGTGAGGCAATGCTTACAGCGTGACCCGCTACGCCGTCCTACAGCAGCTAAGCTTTTGGATGACCCCTTTGTGAAATTTGATGACCCCTTTGTGAAATTTGATGCCCCTCTGGAAAGGCCTTTCCTGGACCCTGAGCCTTCAGATCCACCTTCCATTGTTACAAATGGAGTTAAAGCTCTGGTAGTTCTCTTGTTCACCTATTGGTTGTATTAGTTTTCATCAGCACTTGATTTTGATAATTAATCCATTTCTATCATGTATGTAAGCTTGCACACTTTTGTTCTATGTTTCAGGGTACTGGACAAGCAAGACATTTTCCCACCTTTGAAACAGAGCAACTTGCAGTTCATTCATCTAGAGTTTCAAAATCACATCCCAGGTTTATCTCTCACACACATGCGCCCACACACACACATACATGCACACACAAGACCTGCATGCTTGCACTCTCATTCCCAGTGACAATTGTCAACAATATATGCCTTGGGTCTGATTTTAGTTCCTTGATCAACAGTGATATCCATATTCCGAGGAACATATCCTGCCCAGTGTCACCAATAGGAAGCCCTCTTTTGCATTCAAGATCACCTCAACATCTGAATGGAAGAATGTCTCCTTCTCCTATATCTAGCCCCCACACTACATCAGGCACATCTACGCCTCTCACTGGTGGCAGTGGTGCTTTACCTTTTTGTAATCTGAAGCAATCATCTTATTTGCAGGAGAGTGTTGGAAGCATACCAAAGTCCTCAAGTAGTCTCTATGTTAGTGGCTCTTCATATCATGATTCATATACTGACATTTTTTGCGGGATGCGGCCCAGGTCTCACATATTTGCAGAACTAGGACTCTCAGACAATGATATTCTAGGCAAACAGCTTGTAAGGCCTGCACAAGGGGAATCATATGATGGACAGTCAGTATTGGCTGATCGCGTGTCTCGACAACTTCTCAGGGATCATGTGAAGATGAATCAATCCCTGAATCTAAGTCCCAACTCTCCTTTGCCTAGCTGGAGCAGTGGTGTCTAACTTCTGCATTTTCATGGATCCTGTTGGCTCAAGTTTGTCAAAAAAATTTTTGGCTCAACAGAATCAATTCATTTTTCATTTTATCTGCTGAGGAATCCTTTTTGATCAATAAGGACCCAGAATGGAAGTTTGAGAAATAAGATTGAATTGGGCAAGTAAAGTTGCTTGTGGCTGACAAGTGAATTGCTGTTGCTAAGAGCCTAGGCTTCAGGCATTCTGACCCAAAAATGATGGTGCCAAGCCATTGGAAAACTGATTCTGGCTTAGATGTTCCACTGGACCAACTTATCCTAACAAAGCTCACTTTGTGACAAATAAGAAATTTGCTATTGCAAGCTGTTAAAGTATGACATGGCACGGATTTGTACAGAGCTGAGTCTGTAAATTTTCAACTAACTCTTGACTGAACCATTGTAATCAAATTGCTGGGTTGAGGATAATTTCCAATGGTCTAACATCCGGCAGTTCCTCAGGGATGGTTATAGTTTTTAAGATCATTACACAAGGGCAAGGAAAAGATTAAGATGGACGGTTGCTAGCTTTTGGACTATTTTTGGGGCAGGGTCAAAATCACTGTACATATGTTTTCTGAACTGAAATTGAAACTTAAAAGTATTGCTCTGAAGCAGTCTCGGAATTGCTGTGCATGTACGCTATCATTTCTTGGGATGGTGATGGTGTGCACCAGCTCAGTTGTAAGTGCCAAGTATAGCTCTGCCTGACTTATTATATGTATATGACCACTGGAGAAGATTGGAACAAATCTAATTCCGTGAGCCTACATTTCCTGATTTTCGCATGGCTTCTGTTTTGATATTTCCTCGAATTTTTGTAGTATGAACATATTTTGAATTAGATGTTGAATAAATGTAGTAGAACATGAATAATTCACCATGGGGACTTACTATGAGCAATGGAATGTGTATGAAGGGATGGTTTCTTAAGTTAGTGGAGAGTACAGAAGGTATGCAAAGGGGCTGGTGGACGAGAAAACAAATTGCACACACACCATACATCATCTACAATAATATTTTCAGGTCACGGAATATCTGTATCAGAAAAAGATGGGTAAAGTCTTTTCTTGTGCACTTTCTACTGAAATGTTGCAATCTGCAAGGTAGTGGCCACCCTTACCTTTTAACTTGTAGGTGCATTGCAACACAGCATGTAGTTGCTGCCCCCTTCAGTCCAAAGCAAATAGACATCATTACTACCGTAACTTCTCTCCAATTTCCCTTGGTTTGGAAGACCAACTTTAAAACACCAGAATGGTCTTGGTAGAATGGATCTGAATGGAGTGGTTTGCTCCTGCCTTCGTGGAACAGAACGTCCAAAGGAAACCACCCCTTGTTTGTCTAGTCGTGTATTTATACCCAAGAGAGAAAGTCACAGCTAGAAAATGAACTCAAGATTTTTCATTTTTTGGATGGGAAACTCAACAAATTTATCTTAATTGTTTTATCCTGGTTTTTTCTTCCCCCCCCTTTTTTTTTTTCGGTTCTTTTGCTGGATCATTTGTTGAGCTACTGGATGTTTGGAGGGCGTCATATCGGTGCAAACTCGTTGTAAGAAGACTTATTTCTTGCAATTTGTGTTCATCTTTTGGAAAATGAAAATAACAGAAAAAAAAAAAAAGAACAAAAATAAATAAATATTAAGACATCTTTGGTGCTAGCATTAAAAATATTAAAATATTTAATTTCTATAATGTACTAAATAAAATTCAAGTGGGACTAACATGAAGTCTGACCAATTTTGTAGCTAAAATAGGATGTACTAAGATGTCAGATGTTCTGATTTTTGCATTCTCAAAAGAACCAGAGAGTAAATGGAAGAAACTGAGCTAAATAAAATTTAAAAGCTAAACATTGTTACTAATAATTGGTACAAAGTTTGTATTAAAAGCTAAATAAATAATAGGGAATAAAATTTATAGAGTTTTTTATTTTTTATTTTTTTCACATAAAATAGGAGTTTTTTTTCTTCTGCCAAATCAATTCCCATCTATTTTACAATTCAAAATTTAAAATCTCTAATATGGATAGAAAAATTCAAATTCATAATTACTGAAACATCGCTATCAAACAATACAAAGTCTTTTTCTTTTCTTTTTTTTGTACAGATACAGAGTCTTTATTAAAAGCTAAATGTTGTTACTCTACACACACAACCTTTATCAGAGAAGCATTATCTGTTCCAGACTGTCAACACTCTCCTGTCTGACCATACAATGTATTTAACTCAGGAGTGTAACCTGCCAAGTTCTCATTCCATTTATTTATTTTTTATTTATCTTTCTGTAGAATATATGGTAACTACTAATGAACATTATCTACATCATTGAACCATATTCATGCTGAAATCCCAGAGTTTGTTGGCCAACTCGGGATCCCTACCCTTCTCAGCTGCTTGCCCGATGTTACTGTCCTTGAAATATTCACCCGAAACTCCCCTTACTTGTGGATGCAATGCCACATAGCATGTTGTAGCAGCCCCCTATAATCATGCAAAGAAACATGTTCATATACATGCATTCCAAAAACCGAATGAAGCTCTTTCATAGTTCCATAACAAACATGAGATCCCTGGTTTTTCAAGTCCATTCCAATTTTAGCCTTATATATTTACCTAAACTTTTAGAAGGTTCAAGATTAACTCGGAATGTCAATTTAGTTGATACATGAAGAATGATGAAAGCATCAACAGGTGAATAATGCATCTGAATGTGACAGCAACTTACTTGATGGACATCTTTGAGTGCAAATTTACCAATCTTAGTAACAATGCCTGCATAAGCCATAGGAAAATAAGCTAGTCACACGCTATCTACAAGGCAGCTGTGTAAAGAATGTAAAATTACTTATCAACAAAGTTTCCTATGACCAGGAAAGAAAAACCATGCCAGTTTCGCCCAAACACAACAAAGAAAACCCTGTAAGGATATAAAACACTCAAATGATTACCATGAATGATGCTCATATGACGTAAAAGATTAGTGACAATTGCTCCTGGATGAAGTGAATTTGCAGTTATATCAACTCCCTCTTCCTGCTTAAAGAAATAAACATCATCCAGATTTTACATAGCAAGAAAAAAGCTATCACAGTATGGAGGTGCAAGACTACAGAATTAACTTATGTATAAGGGCCACACACACAAACGTCTTAATTGGATACTGTCAACAGTGCAGCTTAAGTTCAGAAAGGGATAAAATCATTGGAGAAATAAGAAGGAAACCATAGGGGTTGAAATGAAGAAAATCATATGTCAGAAAAGCATAATTGTGATATCTACATACTAAACGAGAACCACATTCTTGACTTACAGACACAGATGAGAATATCATTCATCATAAAAGCAAAGGAGGTTCTCTCTTCAGAAAGTATATAACCTTTGCAGCAGAACATTTTCCAGTTAAGCAAATACAAAGAATAATTAACTGATTTCTATTAGTTACTGAGTTCAATCTTCTATTCCCAAAGCTATGTACTCTAAAGACAATCTAATAAGGACTTCTAATCAAATAGAGGCTCCACATATTACACTAGATAAAAGAAAATGGCACTACAAGATCTCTACAAGCCAGATGAGATGAAGAGTCAATACAGCATTCATGTCAGACACTTCTCAAGCCCAATCCCCACAGATGCACAGGCAGGCTTGAACACAGGTTAATAGAGAGTGATGATTCAGTAACAGATAGTATCCCAGGCCAATGTCCAAATGTTCAACTCAGATAATCCCCTTTTGGCTTTTAACAAAATATAGGAATCAAAATTTTGCTAGCTTAATGAAAAAAATTCACATTCTATGCTGCTGAGAAGAAATAATCACCATAAACATTGAATTAAAAGATGAATTACATTCCAAGTTTACATGCCAAACTAAAATAAAAAGGGAGAACATCATGCAAAACAGAACTATTCAAGCCTGAATGCTGAAGTTCGAAGCCAAGATTTGGAATTTTAATTGCAAACAGAATAAAATAATTTAAATGGCAACACATATATAATGCTCTTTTAGCATTGAAAATATTTCCCATTCAATACTAGTAATGAGGGTTTCACATACCTTAAAGCGTCTTGCAAGTTCATTGGCATGCAGAACATTAGCAAGCTTTGATTGGCCATATGCACGAATACTGCTGTACCTGTACATGACCAAGTCAAAGGACAATATAATGAATGCAAACATCTCCACTTTGTGGGATCACTAAATCATCTCCACTTGGGTAACATACAAAAATCCACTTGGGTAACATACAAAAATAGCAAGCATGGAGATGAATTAGATCAATTTTATTTCTTTTTCAGTTTTCAATTGACAATTATTATAAATTTTGAATTTTGAATTTTCAATGTTTAGGTGAACTAAATTCGCAATATTTTATTTTTAATAGTATGGTGTAGCTTAATTTATGCATATTAAAAAATAACAGACATCAAATTTCACTTTGTTCTGGACTGCCAGTAAGTGAAAAATATGATCTTAAAGAATAGGCCAATGAAATCAGAAGGGTTGTATAGTCTAACCCTGATTCATCATTGATCTTATCAAAGCGAATTCCCTCAGAATATGGGAATCGATGAGCCTCTGATGAGAGGATTACAATCCGTCCTTCTCGTTTACTATCGCGTGCTGTTTTCTTCATTGTGTCCAACAAGAGATTTGTCAAAAGAAAATGGCCTGCCAAACGTTTACAGATTTAGTCCATCTTTAATTTATTGTAGAGTCTATATTTTACAGTTATAGAGCTGCAAAAGAGGAGTCATTGGACAAGGTGAGCCCTCTAATATAAGGGACTACCCCCTCCAATGGTTAGTGTTATACAATCCAGACTGTCTAGACTGCACAACACTTTTTTCTTTCATGTATAGACCTAAGTAACAGTAAAAAAATTCCTTCCTTTGCTTCCCTTGAATTATGGTATTCTGTCTAGACTGCACAACACTTTTTACTTTATTGTATAGACCTAAGTAACAATAAAAAAATTTCTTCCTTTGCTTCTCCTGAACTATGGTACTTGTTATAAAGCCAGCTAACTACTTTCCATTTATAGTACCAACGCTCCAAAACGCTACAAAATTGGAAAATGTTTGAGGAACAACTTTTTAAAACAACTTTTTCATCAAACCTTATATGTCATTTAATGATTGACTTAATTCTTTTTACTCTATTTACTTGTGATATTATATATATTTACTCATTTAATAATATATAAAAGTTTTATAGAAAAGTTGTAAAAAAAATTGTTTGCATATAATTACCCTACAAAATTGCAGGCTCATAATTATGCACTTAAGAAATTACTGTTTCCTGTCAAGTTATGCTGACACTGCTCGGGAATATCCATTCACAAGAGATATCCTTAAAATATATGGAACATACCCAAGTGATTTGTTGCAAACTGGAGTTCAATGTTGTCTTTGGAAAGCTTGAAAGGAGTCGCCATAATTCCTGCATTATTACTGACAACAAAGACATAAATCACACTCTTCAGTAATTTTCCATACCTTCACAGCTTAGAAAAATAAAGTATTGTACAATTATGCTATTTTGTATAAAAGGTTAAGTAGGGAGCAGAGTCTTTCTCCTTTATAATAAAAGAAACAAACATGCAGAGAAAGATGGGAAATGACACGTTGAAAGTATTTGAACCCTATTCTTACATTAGGAGGTTCACTGGACGACCTGAGGAATTGTATTCTGATGCAAATTTCCTCACTGATTCCAGTGAACTGAGATCCAACTCCATGACATCAACTTTCGCAGAGGGAATTTCCTTAACAATTGCTTCTTTTACATCAAGTCCAGCAGCCATAGTCCTGACCCCCATAATTACATGGACACCACGCATTGCAAGAACACGTGCAGTTTCAGTTCCAATGCCGCTAGATGCTCCTATAATCACAGTGGCCACGAAGTAACTTTTGTGAGTGCAGTACTGAGTACTGTCGATGTCAGCAGCAATAACTTATATAACATGCACATTAAAGCATGAAACATGAACATTTGCAAATTGGCAAGTCGGCCAACCACATACCAACAAATCATTGGATGCCTAAAATTTATTTATATAGGACAACATAATGAAAGAGAGAATGAGGGTAAGAATTGTTTGAATAAAAATTAATAAAGGAAAGGAAAGGAATGTGAAAGAAATGATTGATGTTAATTTGGTTTAGATAAATAAAAATAGAAGAGAGGAAAAAATAATATTTTTATTTAATTAAATAATTTTTAAAAAATAAAACAAAATAAAATAAAATATTTAAAATTCACTAGTTAAAAAAATAATAGATATAAAATATATTTATATATTTATTTTTAAAAAAAAATTAAAAATAAATATATAAAACTAATCCTAATTAAACCTTTTAAATTCTTTCAATTTAAAAAGACTAAAAACAAAAAAATGAAAAGGGTTACATTTTTCTTTGTCTTCCTCCCTCTCCATTAAAATCAATAATCCCCACAGAAGAAAGAAGTGTCTCTCCCTTCTCCTTCCTTCCCCTTCAACTTCCACGATCCAAACGAAGGCTAAGTCAAAGGACAATTCCCCGTTTCACTCCTCAACTCTATTATTTCAATAGAGCCCACATGAGAGAATTTGACAATAACGATAACTACAACACCAGAAAGAAGAAGATTTCCTTCCACCAGAAGTTATTCACTACAAACAAGAATTCATTCAATTTTAATCCCTGAACGAAAAACAAGAACTCATTCAATATTATGGCATACCCCACAGGACCACAACTAAGATCAAGACCACAATTCGACAAGTCAACTCATATAAGAAATTAAATAGAGATGGAACACATATATCAGATCCCATTCAGTAATCATCCTCACAAATCACAAAAACAAAAACCAAAAAAAAAAAACCCCAGATAGAGAATTGACCTGTAATGATGGCAGTGAGATCAGTTCCATCAATCCCTTGAGTAACCTCCTCAGCCGTGGAAGATGCAGAGAATCCAGATGGGCCTTTCCTGCTAAACAACCACATCT